TGTGTGTCTCTCTCTCTCTGTCTCACTCAATCTCTCTCTGTCTGTGTGTCTCCCTGTGTGTGTCTCTCTGTGTGTGTGTGTCTCTCTCTCTCTTTCTCTCTCTCTCTCACTCAGTCTCTCTCTCACTCACTCACTCACTCAATCTCTCTCTCTGTCTCTGTGTCTCTCTCTCTCTCTCTCTCTCTCTGTGAGTGTGGGTGTGTGTCTCTCGCGCTCTCTGTCTCTCTGGTCTCTCTGTCTCTTGTGCTCTCTCGCTCTTGCTCTCTCTCTCTCTGTGTCTCTCTCTCTCTCACTCAATCTCTCTCTGTCTGTGTGTGTCTCTCTGTGTGTGTGTGTGTGTGTGTGTGTGTGTGTGTCTCTCTCTCTCTCTCTGTCTCTTTCTCAACCAATACTGCCATATGTATATTTTATTTTTAATGAAAGGTATTTGTAAAATTATTGTACTTCATAGCTATTTTTATGTATGCAAGGAAATTTTCTTTCTTTCATTCCTTGGCTTCTACTAGTGATGCTACATGGTGTGACCAGTACTGCTCAGTGAATGCCTAGGAAGGCTGAGAATCCTCTAATTTCTATCTAACAAGGTTTCTAGTAATGAAGTACCCTGTTGCTCGTTACCACCCTCATGAACACTGAGATTGAAGGGAAGTGGATGTTTCCTCTCTTGTTCAGTCACTAAATGGGAAGTGCTTTGGTGCTGACAAACCTTGCAGAATATTGGGATACTTTGATAATTGTGCTAAAATCTGTACTTACTTGAATCATCTTGTGGTGGTAATTCTTTGGGGGGATGGTGGCTGCAATACAGCTAACCCTCCTCCAGCACATCTAGTTTGTTCCTAAAACATGTACTAAACAAAAGCATGCTAAATGAAAGTCACTTTTCATTTCAAGAAAATCCACTTTTCAAGAAAACGTGCAAATCAAATTTGGTTAGGTTTCTGAGCTGTAATTTTTATATTTAAAGACCTTTTTTATTGAATCCCTACAGTGGAAGCAGGCCAATTGGCCCATCGAGTCCACACCAACCATCCTAACAGCATTCCACCAAGACCCTATCCTTGTCACCACTGCCACCATGTTGCCTTTGCCAATTCTTTACACGAAGTCACCAATCTCTGTCTCTCGGGATTAGCAAACTATAAGTGGGTTCTATTTATTTGAACAATACCTTTTGATATGGAAATAAATTACAGGAGAGCTCAACACATAGGTCAATGCTAAGGGTTCAATACATACCACAGCAACTACCAATACTAATAGCAACAAAGTGTTACTGGTTAACCAGTTTGCTGATCACGTATTGCTTTGCTGATGGCATGTACATTACTTGAATGCTCAAAGTGTATTCACAACAACAGTGAGAAGGAGGGTCAGGGGAGTGATGTGATGAAAGGTTTGGGCATGAGGAGCAGGGAACAGAAAGGAAGCAGTGAGCAGGAGTGGCTGTAAACAAATTTCCATTTAAATAAAGACAGAGCTGTGCAGGGAAAGTCCCTAATTAACAAATCACGCTAAACGGAAACACATTATTGGAATATGATTTTAGATGGGGATTATCTATAAACTTTTTTCTTTTAAAATGCAGATGGCTTCAAAATGCAACGTTTGAAGGGAAGACAGGATCTAAATCAGCTCATTGTTGTGGAATAGGTTACACAGAAGGCATTGTTAATGATACATCACTTAAATTGAGTAATGAATAGAAATTAGACCCATCATAAAGACATGATTTACTTATCTGTCAAATGCTTCCAGAAACTTCAGGTTATCTAAGGGAATTTAAGGGAATCGAACTACTGAGAAATTAACATAGTTGCATTGTTTGTCTCAGACGAAGTGCACAAACTATCCTTGCATGTACACAATCTACTATAAAAGTTCAAATACCTAGGTATAGATCTATTTGTGGTTGCAAGAAGTAATTAAGAAGACAAGTAAAATTTCGGCTTTTATTGCAAGAGGGTTGGAGTTCAAAAATGGGGAAGTCTTGTTACAACTGTACAATGTGAGGCTGTACCTGGAATACTGTATAGTTTTGGTCCCAGTATTTAAGAAAAGACATACTGGATTGGAGGCAACACTGGGGTAGGTGATGGCCTAGTGGTATTATTGCTGGACTGTTAATCCAGAGACCCACATAATGTTCTGGGGACCCGCGTTCGAATCGTGCCACGGCAGATGGTGAAATTTGAATTCAGTGAATATCTGGAATTAAGAATCTAGTGATGACCATGAATCCATTGCGAATTGTCAGGAAAAACCCATCTAATTCACTTGTTGTGGTTGACTCTTAACTGCCCAGAGGGCAGTTACGGATGGGCAATAAATGCTGGCCTACCCAGCGATGCCCTCATCTGTGAATGAATAAAGCAAAGATTCACCAAGCTGATTCCTGGGATGAAGAGGTTGACTTATCAAAATGACAAAACAGGTTAGGCATTTATTCATTCGTTCTGAGGAAGGGGCACTGGATCCAAAACGTTGACTCTGTTTTTTTCCTTCGCAGATGCTGCCGGACCTGCTGGCTTTTTTAGCAACTTTGTTTTTGTTCCTGATTTACAGCATCCGCAGTTCTTTTGGTTTTTATTTATTCATTCGAGTTTAGAAGCATGAGGGGCAATTGAATTGAAACATAAGCTTCAGAAGGATGGGGGCTTGACAGGTTAGGTGTTGAGAGGATTTTTCCACTAGTGGAGGAATCTTGAACTAGGGGACGTAATGACTTGGGGGCATTCATTTAAAATTGAGATGTGAAGGAATTTCTTCTCTCAAGGATAATGAATGTCTAGAATTCTCTACACAAGAGAGTTGTGGAACCTAGATTACTCAAAGATGAAGGAGATAGACTTTGAAACATCAGGGAGTTAAGAGTTATGATAGACTAACATTACAGAGCAGTGGAGCCAGGGGAAATCAGCCATGATCTTGTTGAAAGGTAGGGCAGGCTTGAGGGGCTGAATGGCCTATTCCTGTTTCTATTTCTTTTGAGAGCACATGTTAATTCTTATTTAGTAAACAGCAGTAACCACAAACAGTCTTTACAAGTGCCTTGGTGAGCAGAAAAACTTGTAATAAAATAGCTAACTCTGCTGTCACCATCTTCCTGACTGCTGCACAGGGACAACCAAAAGTAAAAGGTAAAGTTGTCATAGACCTACCAGACCATAGAGCTGCTGTCATTAGAGACACACCACTAATGCGTTTTAACCTGAGGGTTGTCACACACCAGGTGAGGGAAGAGAAACATAAAAACATAGGAGCAAGGTGAAGCCATTAGGCCCTTCAAGCCTGCTCTGCCACTCATCACCATCATGGCTGATTGTCCAACTCAGTTGCCTAATCCTGCTTTCCCCCCATAAACGTTTGATCGCCTTCACCCCAAGTGTTATATCTGGCTGCCTCTTGAATACATTCAATGTTTTGGCATTCTATTTCCTGTGGTAATGAATTCCACAGGGTCACCACTCTGGGTGAAGAAATGTCTCCTCATCTCCATCCTAAATCGTCTACCCCAAATCCTGATTCTGGACACCTCCCCTCCCACCTCCACCCCCCCCACCCCGCTCCAGCAATCGGGAACATCCTCCCTGTATCTACCCTGTCTAGTCCTGTTGGAATTTTATAAGTGTCTATGAGATGTTCCTCATTGGTCTCAATTCCAGTGAAAACAATCCCAATCTAGTCAATCTCTCCTCAAATGTCAGTCCCGCCATCCGTGGAATCAGCCTGGTAAGCCTTTGCTGCAGTCCCTCGAGAGCAGGAGCATCCTTCCTCAGAAAAGGGGACCAAAACAGCACACAATAT